AAAAATCCCCTTGGGGGTTGATTTACTTAAACCTTAGCAAAAGTCATTTTAAAGCTAATATCAGGGAATTGGGGGGGGGGGTGAATTGAGAGTATCAAGAAATATTCTAAAAACATGAATGGGTACCACTGCACCAAAAATAAACATCAAAAAATTTTAAAAAGAATAACTAAAATGATATGCTGGCCCAGAAATTAATGGAGTAGATTAATGCTTAGAAATAGAATGGATTTCAAGAAAATTTCACACAGACAATCCTTCACACTCAGAAGTGACACACTCAAAAACTTTTTAGTATTTCCAAATTACAACACCATGAAGACACTTGTACTAGTACACAGCCAAGTGAACAAAGATAACTTGATGGATTTTCCATGAATCCCAAAGTGTTCCCTTTTAAAGGCAGTTACAAAAAAATAAAATAACATAACACAACACGTGGTTATATCCTAGAAACTATAACATTCTCAATTCTTTACAGTCTTGCCACTGTTTTGTTTGAATATCAATGCTTAAAAATCATATATTTTGGGGCAGCGCTTGTGGCTCAAAGGAGTAGGGTGCTGGCCCCATATGCCAGAGGTGGCGGGTTCAAACCCAGCCCCCAGCCAAGAGCTGCAAAAAAAAAAAAAAAATTATACATATATATATGTATATAAGATACATATATATGTATATAGGATACTAGTAAATTAACATCACTGTGTCACTGTTCCCTATAAAAAGAAGCAAATTTTAATTGAAAAAGTAATCCCTTGAAAAACCTCAATCATTATATAAATACAGACTAAAATCAATCAGAAAGCTTTCCTTTCTCAATAAAAATCTATCTAAATTGCTTTCTTAACTCAAGATCCATAACCATGTTTCTAACTGGAGTCTTTTGCCGCAAAGAAACAAACTTTTTAATAAACACTTTATGAGATTTACTCATATCCCTAAACAAGTAACGAGAAAAATGAAATAGACTATGAATTGAAGATGCTGGGTTATCAGCTAGACTCATGTACTTGCCAAATTATTGAGTACTGCCCAGTGGCCTCACCTGAGCAAAATAACATATTTCTACATTACACAAACATTTGGTTTTATCTTACAAATACAGACTGCCAATGTTCTATCAGCTTACTGGCTATGACAGGATAATCATTGTGAAACAATGATGAAAGTATTGAAAAAATAATCAGAAAAATGGGCAAAATCTTATTTACTCAAATAAGTTCCATGTACATTTTTTAAGTATTAAAAAATTAAATTGGACAACTATATAGAAATAGAAAATTCTCATTAATAACAGAGATCTAAGAAGCAAGCAAAAGAAAAAACTGGAACAATTATATAAAATTACATAAATTACACAAAATTTCTACACCAGAAAATCTAAGCTAAATTTAAAAAGAATAACTAGGGAAGGAATTTTCTTCAACTCTGACAAATATTATACATAAAGTATTTCTTTTAGCTGTAAGAATATCAAGACTATTAAGAAAAGAGCTGAACAGGCAAATAGTACAAACGGTAAGAAACACAAGCCTTAGTATGGTTTTTTTCACATTTTACCATGTAACTAAAATTAGTGAGAAAATCCCAAAGTTAACATTTTTTTTTCTCACCATCTAGACCTAAAGTATCATAGAATTTCTTCTCCAAAGAGCAAGTCAACCAAGTTATAATGCAGGCACAAATATTTTAACAAGTCAATTAACATTAAGAAACACCATCAGACTTGCTAAACAACATAATCCACATATATAATGGTTAATATTTTGTGCTTTTTCTCCCATTTATAATGTCTTTTTAAACCTTTCTCTTAGGTAAGAAAATTCATGCAACATCCTCCAGAACCAAAATACTAAGGGAAAAAAAAGTCCAGCACATTTTACCAATTAAAACCCTAGGAGGCTCGGCGCCTATGGCTCAACCGGCTAAGGCGCCAGCCACGTACACCTAAGGTGGCGGGTTCGAATCCCCAGCCGGGACCCGCCAAACAACAATGACGGCTGCAACCAAAAAATAGCCGCTCATTGTCGCTGGCGACTGTAGTCCCAGCTACTTGGGAGGCGGAGGCAGGAGACTCGCTTGAGCCCAGGAGTTGGAGGTTGCTGTGAGCTGTAATGCCACGGCACTCTACCCAGGGGGACAGCTTGAGGCTCTGTCTCAAAAAAAAAAAAAAAAAAAAAACCCTAGGAAACAGTCGTTATGATCTCATCTAACATCACAAATTCAGGTCTAAAATCTCCACAAAATGCAAGGCTTCCTCAATACTTAGTTTAGTACCCCTAGTACATCCAATATTTTACCCTATTATTTTTAAAGTATGAAACAGAGGTGGCTTTTTGACTAAAACATTCACACATTTTATAAACTCCTATGACATTCATATTACTGATTAAAGCTCAGATTTGGGATGTTAATTTCCATAGGAAAAAACTGAACTTCAGGTAGAAGAACAGAGAATAATTTCTTAATTTCAAGTTCAAGATCATCTAGCTATTTGTATCAGTTTGATAATGCCAATTTTATTCGAAAATATTATTTATGAGCATTCCTTACTTTGTTTTAATAATTTATTGCCTGTAGGCTCATGGGACTCCATCTTGTGGTTTAAAGGGCTTATAATCAATTTGAACTCATTTGCTTTGCTTAAATAGTAGAGTGCCATCTGTATCTGAGGCACCAGAGCCAAAAATTAACACTATTGTTTTTCACTTTCCCTCACAGTTAACACTTCCATTTTTTTTAATTATTAAAATTGTAAGTAAATTAATTAAACATAAACAAAAACCTACCATGGTTTTCTATAGTATTTTAGCTTTTTTCCCGATCCTTTTCCCTCTTTCTTGTCGTCTTCACGAGGCACTGTTTTGTGTGACAATACCTCCTCATAAGCCTTAGTCCCCTGACAGCTCAGCGTCAATACAGCAAAGATGTTTAAAGACCTATTCTCTGGAATACACCTGTAAGAGAAGAGGAAAATTTCAAAAATGCTTCTTTACAATTAGTTTCAAAGAAATAAAAGGTTAATTTAATGGATAAAATTAGGGCCTAGAAATTTAAAATGCCAACTTTATCATTTAATAGCTAGGTGACCTGAGAAAGCCAGCCATGTCACTCAAAACATCACTTATTTACTTACTTAATTTCCTCAGGTCTAGTTTCTTTTATCCATAAAATAATAAATTATTCCATGACTAACAGATAACATTTATGGAATTCAAACTTAAAATGCCTAAAAGTTTTTCATACATTAATTCATTTAATCATCAAAACAATCTCAATTACTGTCTCCCATTTAACATATAAAGAAACTAAAGCAGGGTGGCTGCCTGTGGCTCAGTGAGTAGGGCACTAGCCCCATAGACTGAGGGTGGCAGGTTCGAACCCAGCCCCAGCCAAACTGCAACAAAAATAAAGAAATAAAAATAAAGAAACTAGAGCATAAAGAAGTAATATAACCTAATTAAAATAAAAACAAGTAAACTATAGAGCCAAGATTCAAATCCAGACAATCTTCTTTAATACCTAGTAATATCTGTCAAATAGTATACATTCAATAAATGGTAACACACCTGAAGTTTTCTAATGTTAAATATAAATGTTTTATTTATATATCAGATGTAAGTACATATCTCTGAAAAACTAAACTTAGAAAAATATTAGCTGTGCTCTACTTAGAACAGCCTTACACAGCAGGTGGAATATACGTGTAAAGGCATATGTGTATCACTTTTTTATTGAGCAGTTTTTTTTTCAATTAACAGACATTATTTTTAGAGCAGAACTAGATTTAAAGAACAAATGAGTGGTAAGGGGAAAGAATACGCTTTTCTCTCCAACACACACAGCTTCCTCTATTATTTAGTTAACAATAATTAGTGTAGTACATTTGTTACCAATGATGAGTCAATGTTGATAGAGTATTGTTAACTAAAGTTCACAGTTTAAATTAGGGTTCACACCTCGTGTTGTAGATTTTATACGTTTTGACAAATGGCATGCATCCACCACCACAGTATCACACTTCATTCCCCTAAAAATCCCCTGTGCTCTACCTGTTTGATCTTCCCTACCTCTCCCCAACACCTTAGTAGCCACTGATTTTTCTGCCTTTTCAAGAATGTCATAGTTGTATTCATACAGTATATGTAGCCTTTTCAGACTGTCTTCTTTCACTTAACACACATTTCAGTTTTCTCCATGTCTTACCATGACTTGATAGCACATTTCTTTTCATCACTGACTAGTATTCAATTGTACAAATGTATTATAGTTTATCAATTCACCTACTGAAGAACATCTTGAATGATTATGAATTTTGCCAATTATAAATAAGGTACTATAAACATAAACGTCCATGTGTAGATGTTAAGTTTTCAACTTCTGGGTGGCGCCTGTGGCTCAAAGGGGTAGGGCACTGGCCCCATATGCCGGAGGTGGAGGGTTGAAACCTAGCCCTGGCCAAAAACTGCAACAAAAAAAAAAAAAAGTTTTCAACTTCTTTGGATAAATACCAAAGGCTATACTTGCTTGATCATGTAAGAGTATGTTTAGTTTTCCTAAGAAACCACTATACTGTCTTCCTAAGTGGCTGTCCCATTTTGCATTTCCTGTTGCTCCACATCCTCATCAGCACTTGGTGTTGTCAGTGTCCTTGATTTTGGATACTCTATCATAATAGGTGTGTAGTGGTATGTGACTTGTTTTAATTTGAAATTCCCAGATGATATATGATGTTGAACATCTTATCATATGTCTATTTGCCTTTCTGTATATGTTCCTTAGTGAGGTGTCCAGATTTTATTGGTTGTTCTCATATTATTTAGTCTTAAGAGTTCTTTCTATATTTTGGATACTAGTTCTTTTTTTATGTCACCTGGTGGATAGACTATTGTTAACCAAAGGTCACAGTTTAAATTAGGGTTCACACCTTGTGTTGACTTACACAGCTCACAGCAACCTCCAACTCTTGGGCTTAAGCAATTCTCTCACCTTAGCCTCCCATGTAGATGGGACTACAGGCGCCCTGCCACAGCACCTGCCACAATGCCCAGCTATTTTTTTGTTGCAATTGTCATTGTTGTTTAGCTAGCCCAGGTCAGGTTCGAACCCACCACACTTGGTGTATGTGGCTGGCACCATAACCACCGTGCTACAGGCGCCGAGCCTGGACACTAGTTCTTTATCAGATATGTGTTTTGCAAAGATTTCTCTCCCAGTAGCTTTTTTCCATCCTCTTAACCATGTTTTTTGCATAGAGAAAAATTTTTCATTTTGCTTAATTCCAACTTATCGACATTTTTCTTTTGTGGATCTTGCTTTCAGTGGTAGTATATCACCTTTTAGACTGACTTCTAAAAGGGAAAAGTTTTAATATCAGGCTACTCAGCCTAGAAAACAATGTGCTTTCTTCAAAACCAAAGAACTATGCCTTCTATATTCTAACCATAAACTTAGTCAAATACACTAAGGAGAATATTAAAAATATTTTACTTTAAAAAACTTTAAATTTTTTTAATACTAATATAGGCCACCTCTCCAAAACAAGCTAAGTAAAGATAAAATAAGCAGGTCCTACTTCTGCACTATAAAGTACAACCACATATACATTATATTAAAGATGGGCAAGAAAAAATTAGAAAGACACCTCATTGGTATCCTAAGATCACTTTAAGATAAATTATGTGAAATTCCTAAGTTAATAAGTTCATTAACTCATCCTAGAAAAAGTGCTACATACCTCATTACTGAATATCACAACAGTCACCTTCAAAGTACTCCCCTTGGGAAGCTATGCACTGATGCAGCTCCTACTCAAAGCACTTTTTCTACAATGAGTTCATGGACTTAATTGTCCGACCTCCTACAACAACAATCGACTGTCATTCCAGAAAAAGAGTTCTGGGCTCGGCGCCTGTAGCTCAACCGGCTAAGGCGCCAGCCACATACACCTAAGGTGGCGGGTTCAAATCCCCAGCCCGGACCCGCCAAACAACAATGACGGACGCAACCAAAAAAAAAATAGCCGGGCGTTGTGGCGGGCGCCTGTAGTCCCAGCTACTTGGGAGGCTGAGGCAGGAGACTCGCTTGAGCCCAGGAGTTGGAGGTTGCTGTGAGCTGTGATGCCACAGCACCCTACCCAGGGGGACAGCTTGAGGCTCTGTCTCAAAAAAAAAAAAAAAAAAAGGAGTTTCAAAATTGCTCTGAAGGATGGATTAGGCACTGGTGTCAGTACAGAACTTCCCAAAGTGAGCACTTCAAAGGTGACTGTAGTGATCTTCTCAATGAGGTATATAGCACTTTTTCTAGTATTAGTTCATGAACTTAACTGTCCAACCTCATATTCTGTACTTAGTACTATACTATGTACTACAGAAGATACAAAGATGAATCAACACAGGACACAGTAAGGGAAGTTAAAACAAATACAATTATAAGTAAGATACTCCCCCCAATCTCTTCAAATAAATTAAACTTTCTCTACATGGAAGCATCAAGTTTCTGTGCAATACTAACGTGCAAAGAATACTGAATTTTAGCACTTTCCTCTAAGAAGCTTCCTTTTTTATATTAAAAAAAAAAAAAGCATATGAGGGAAGGCTAAAGTGAAAAGCCTGTAAATTACACATCAATACCTAATATAAAATCCTTACCTAGTCCAAAAATCCAGCTATTCATCCCTACTTAAAAACACCGATAATGATAGAAAAGCTTGATACCACCATTATCATTTGAAGCCTTGCAACAATGAATAGAGGCCAAAAAGTCTTTTCTCAGTTAACAGTACGAACACAAATGATGCAATGACTTTAACCTAAAATATACTGAATGACCCAGTGAAGTCAAACCAAAATGCTTCCTGAATATTTACTGTCAGTGAGCAAAATGGAAAAGCTCTTCTCACGTAACCAATCAGAAGAGGGATGAGCTATAAGGTGGCTCACATTTGTAATCCTAGCATTTTGGGAGGCTGAGGCCAGAGGTCTGCTTGAACCTAGGAGTTTAAGATCAGCCTGAGCAACAAACAAAGCAAGATCCTGCCTCTACAAAAAGTCTAAAAACTAGCCAGGTGCAGCGGTGCATGCCTGTAGTCCCAGCAACTCAGTAGAGACTGAAGCAAGAGGATTAGGATCCTTGCACCTAGGAGTTTGAGGTTGTAGCCAGCTATGACAATGTCACTGCATGCTAGCCAGGGCGACAGAGTGAGACTCTTATTTCTTGGGGAGGGGAAGAGGTGGAAATGTGATAGTTGAAAAACACATTTCCTCACTGAAATAAATACTCACTACACCTTCCCAATCTCTGGTATACCTTACGTGACAGAACAACATTCAGCCAGTCAGATAACTTCAGTGCTTTGCAACAAGTATTTGCTAAGTACCTATAATATCCCAGGGACTGTCCTAGACATTCTGGCTACACCAGGAAACAAAATAGACAAATATTCCCAAAATCCTGAAGAGGGGCAACAATCAAAAAACAATAAATATGAGCTGGGTGCCAGTAGTTCAGTGGTTAGAGTGCCAGCCATATGCTCTCGGGCTAGTGGGATTGAACTTGGCCTGGGGCCTGCTATTAAAAAAAAAAAAAAAAAAAGGCTCGGCTCCTATAGCTCAACC